TAATGGGCCAATCAGTTTATAACCTTATGGAGTCCTGTGTGTGATTTTTCTTTGGGATTTGCCGGCTGTGGGGTACCGGGCGGGACGGAAACTCCAACAAGTCGGCCCCCTCATGTTACACCTATTTGACAAGAACTTTAAGTCTTTGAAGAAAGAAATTGAGGAGGATACCAGAAAATGGAAAGACCTCCCTTGCTCTTGGATTGGGAGAATCAACATAGTCAAAATGGCAATTCTACCAAAAGCAATCTATAGATTCAGTGCAATCCCCATCAAAATCCCATCAAACTTCTTCACAGACCTTGAGAGAACAATAATCAAGTTTATATGGCAAAACAAAAACCCAGGATAGCCAAAACAATCTTATACAATAAAGGAACTTCTGGAGGCACTACCATCCCTGACTTCAAACTCTATTACAGAGCTACAGTATTGAAAACAGCTTGGTATTGGCATAACAACAGAGAAGTCGACCTATGGAATTGAATAGAAGACCCGGGTATTAACCCACAAACGTATGAACACCTGATTTTCGACAAGGGAGCTAAAGGTATACAATGGAAGAAGGATAGCATCTTTAACAAATGGTGCTGGCATAACTGGATGTCAACCTGTAGAAGAATAAAAATAGATCCAAATCTATCACCATGCACAAAACTCAAGTCCAAATGGATTAAATACCTCAACATTAATCTGACCACTTTGAACCTGATAGAAGAGAAAGTGGGAAGTAGTCTACAAGACATAGGCACAGGAGGCCACTTCCTAGGTAGAACCCCAGTAGCACAGACAATAAGAGAATCAATGAATAAATGGGACCTCCTGAAACTGAGAAGCTTCTGTAAAGCAAAGGACACTGTCAGTAAGACAAAAAGGCTACCTTCGGACTGGGAGAAGATCTTCACCAACCCCTCATCAGACAAAGGTCTGATCTCCAAAATATACAAAGAACTCAAGAAACTAGACACTAAAACTCTAATTAACCCAATTAAAAAATGGGGTACTGAACTGAACATAGAATTCTCAACAGAAGAACTTCGAATGGCCAAAAGACACTTAAGGTCATGCTCAACCTCCTTAGTGATCAGGGAAATGCAAATCAAAACAACTTTGAGATACCATCTTACACCTGTCAGAGTAGCTAAACTCAAAAACATCAATGATAACCTATGCTGGAGAGGATGTGGAGTGAGGGGAACACTCATCCATTGTTGGTGGGAATGCAAACTTGTGCAGCCACTGTGGAAATCAGTGTGGCGGTTTCTCAGGAAACTGGGAGTCAACCTCCCTCAGGACCCAGCAATTCCACTCTTGGGAATATACCCAAGAGATGCCCTATCATACTACAAAAGCATTTGTTCAACTATGTTCATAGCAGCACTATTTGTAATAGCCAGAACCTGGAAACAACCTAAGTGCCCCTCAATAGAAGAATGGTTAAAAAAGGTGTGGAACATATACACATTAAAGTTTTACTCAGCGGTAAAAAACAATGACATCTTGAATTTTGCATGCAAATGGATGGAAATAGAAAACGCTTTACTGAGTGAGGTAACCCAGACCCAAAAAGAGGAATGTAGTATGGACTCATTCATAAGTGGATTCTAACCATAGTTAAAGGTCTTTGAGCCTATAATTCGTGATCCTAGAGAAGCTAAGTAAGAAGGTGAACCTGAAGAAAATCATATAGTTATCCTCCTGGGTATTGGAAGTAGACAAGATTGCCAGGCAAACTTGGGTGCACAGGGGGTGGGGTGTGTAAGTAAGGGGAGATGGTTAGAGAGAAGGGAGAAGGGGAGGATGGGGGATAGCTTGAGGGAATGGGATGCGGGGGAGGGAGGAAGGATGGATATGGGAGCAGGGAAGTATATATCTCAACTAAGGGAGCCATTTTAGGGTTTGCAAGAGACTTGATTCTAGAGGGGTTCCCAGGTCCAAGCAGAGGTCCCCAGATTGTTCCCTGGGCAGCAGAGGAGTGGGTGCCTGAACTGGCCTTGGCCCATAACCATACTGATGAATATTTTGCATATCACCATAGAACCTTCATCTGGCCATGGATGGGGATAGAGACAGAGACCCACATTGGAACACAGGACTTAACTCCCTAGGTCCAAATGAGAAGCAGAAGGAGGGAGAACGTGAGCAGGGAAGTCAGGATCAGAGGGAACCTTCATTTGACGATGGACAGAGATAGAGACAGAGACCCACATTGGAGCGCTGGACTGAGCCCCCAAAGTCCAAATGAGGAGCAGAAGGAGGGAGAACATGAACAAGGAAGCCAGGACCGCGAGGGGGGCAATCACCCACTGATACAAGGGAACTGATCTAATGAGAGCTCACCAAGGCCAGCTGGACTGGGACTGAACGAGCATGTGATCAAACAGGATTCTCTGAATGTGGCTGACATGGGGGCTGTCTGAGAAGCCATTGATAATGGCACTGGATCTTGTTTCGTCTGCATGCACTGGCTTTTTGGGATCCTAGTCTGTTTGGATGCTCACCTTCCTAGACCTGGAAGGAGGGGGAGGAACTTGAACTTCCCACAGGGCAGGAAACCCTGACTGCTCTTAGGACTGGAGAGGGAGGAGGAGAGGGAGTGGGGGGAGTGTGAGGGTATTGGGAGGAGGGGAGGAAGTGGAAATTTTTATAAATTACTAATAATAAAAAAAACAAAAAAAGTATTAAACAAGATAGAGGAGGTTTGCGTGACATGAGTGAATTAGAATAGAAAGGAGGATTCAGACAAGCACAAAGCTGATTTTGTTTAAAAGGCTTTAAAATATTTATTTTGGAGCCAGAAGATTATATATGGTTTAAATCCTGCACGATGAACACAGATTGCTTCTATAAACAGACGTTAAACAAGCATAAAGGCGTGGACCCATGGTCTGGTGGTTCTTTAAGCCTGCGTATTTAGTGAGTGCTCCATCTCTGTGGTTAGCGCTGAGTCAGGGCACTACTGGGACAGCCGAGGAACCTAAAAGAATATAGCAGGGAATGCCTGTGCTGAGGTGGCTCTGCGATAAACATCTGATTAAGAATCAGGGGGTGGGAGCGGTGACTTTTCCCTTGGCCTGTAGGTAAGAATGACAGTTGCCAACTAGGGTGTGGAGCTGTAGGACCTGAACTGCCTGAGGCACGGAATGACCTATGAAAGTCACCACACCAAGAATCCACCTCTGTACTCACGGTCCACCAGGAGGGTCCAGCTGCAGGACACATGGCCAAGGCTATTGGACGCTGTACAGCTGTATCTCCCACTGTCCCTCATCCGGGCTCTCCGCAGGCAGAGGTAATGGGACGCACCATCTTCATAAATCTCAATGACGCCTTCTCGTCTCCTCACAGGGATGCCTTCCAGGAACCAGGCCACTTCAGGCTTGGGTATCCCTGAAACTACAGGGCCGTGCGTGGAACATGCGCCCTCAGGGAGCACTGCATGCTTCGAGGGTGGGGTGGGGAGAGACTGACAGGAGGAAGAACTCAGGCTGCGCAGGAACTGATTTCCTACTTCCAAGTCTGCCTCTTTTCTGGGATCCTGCACTCCTCGCTGAGTAAATGTCCTGTGAGAGACAGGGTCTTGAGGTGGGGGATAGCAGGGGTGATGAGCCAGCTCTCCAGGGGAGACAGGGACAGGAAAAGGAGGACAAAGAAGTAGGGGCTTGCTGTGTGTTTGTGGTGATGGGTGAGTTAAAGCATAGGACCAATGCTCTATTCCGTAAGGAGTAATGGGCCACTCTAGGGTTTTAGAGACTGGGCACTTCCCAAGAGAAGACACGGAAAAGTAGCTTCCCAAGGGACCTATTTTAAGGCGATGCACAGACACAGAGGCGCACACTGATGTGCTGACGGAAAGGAGTGGCCGTCCAGGGGCTACATTTTGGGACCCAGCACCCAAGCATCACTACTCACCCTCACAGACGAACTTGACTGTCTGATCTTCGGTGACTTCTCGGCTTTGGGGCTGACTCTCAAATCTGGGAAATGATGACTCCCTTTGGCTCTCTATGGGGATGTTCCTGGTGACAGACTTGTTCCCAGTTGGGCCTCCCAGGCCACAGTGTCGGGTAGGGAGCATGGCTTGCTGAGGGGCAGTCAGACTTTTCCTCTGTTCCTCAGAAGGAGAGAAGGCCCCAAGGCCCGGCACTCTGGCTTCTGGCTGGACTTTGGCAGCCTGCAGGGTGATGGTGCTGAACGTCTTCTGTAAGACTGAGGACTGCAGGGCCTTTCTGGGAGCCTCCTCACACAGCTTCAGCTTGGGCTCCTGCGGGGACTTCAGGTGGCTGTTTGTGGCCCAGGCTGAGGAGACACTCCTCTGGGGGCTTGAGCAGTTCTTACTTTCGGCCATAGTCTCTAGGTCTTTGGAGATCCCATTAGTCACCTCCTTCCTGGTGTCTGGACTGGGGGCCTTGGTTCCTCTCACAAATGACCTGTACGGTGATGAGGGCCAGGAGGAGAGAGAGAAAGGGACACGGTGGTCAGTGGGTTACTTGTAAATGTTACCATGGCACATATGCCAAGTATCACAAAGCCCACAGATGAAGGCTAAAGCAAAGTATTACAGCTTGTTCCACATCCCACTTCAGGGCTTAGGGGCCATACATGACCCTCCCTGTCCTTTGCTTCCACCCATAGCCTGTGCATCGATACATCTCTCTTCCCTGGGGCTCTGGAGCTCAAACCGATCATCTTCCCTTGCTCACAAAGCCCCTTTCTGATCCAATCCTAAGTAGCCACTGCAGTCAGTCGTTTAAAGACATAAATTGCATTATATCACTTGAAGCTCAAGGAGGTTTCAGCTTCCCACTCTATTAAGGATAAAGCCGAGCATCACAGTGGCACCGAGTCCCAGCTGCCTCTTGCTGCACAAGCCACTGACGGCCAAACCACCATGCGACAGCCAGGAGAGGGTTACTGGGGCCCCACAGGGGGCTTTCCTTAGAATGTGTCCTCCCAAGCTTTCATCACCTGCTTCTGCTACACTTCCCGGGTCTGAGTTCAAATGTGGATGTTTCAGAAAGGGTCTTGTCGACCCAGGAGTGAAATTGGTCTCCCTCTGTCATTCTTCACAGAGAGCTGTCATTTCACATGTGAGGCAGTGAAAGCCCTACTCTACAGTGGGTGGTCTGTTCTCCCATGTCCTGACATCTCTGTGCCTCACATCCACAAGGGAAGAAAGCAACCACGACTGTGCCCCAGAGGACCAAGTGCATTATGGTCTGTGATAACGAGGAAGTTACCCTAAATGGGGCTTGCTTTGGAAGACACCAAGGGGATACCGAGGCACCGAGTGCTCTGAGAATTTCCACACTGACAACAAATACCACAGGAGGGCCAAGCAAAGCACGCCAGATAAAGCGACCCCAAGCCAATCTTCGCTTTCTACACAATGCCTTGAAAATTCTGAGCATTTCCGCTGCTATTGCTGTGTGGAGTATTTTAAGATGGAAAAAAAGTAACAATTATGAAGAAAAGACGTACCTCGTGGCACCGTCCAAACCTGGAAGAGGGCAGAAAGACAGTGGATTACTTTCGACGCCAAGCAGAGACAATGATAAGGTAACATTGTTTCCATTTACTGAAGAGCTCCCCTGCGAGGGGCTTGCAGTGGGCTTAGAAATCTTTCTCGCACTAGAAATATTTCCCGGCTTTTCCAACAGCAGCTGGGTCTGAGGGCACTGACTCCCTCCCCCTCTCCAAACAGAGGGAAGCATAGTCAACAAGGCAAGTCACGGAACACACCTACTAATGAAGGTGCCAGACCGGGGCTTTCACAGTTACCTTCAGCCTTAAAAATCACACCCAACCCAACAAAGTCCATTTTGGGCAGATAGATGCTTTAGAAACATAAAAAGGAAGTGACATTTTATTCTTCCAGGAAGTATAAATACATTCTTTTCTTACCAAGCCTATCTGGCGCTTTTTAAATTTTATCACGGAAAATTCCAAAACATATCCCAGTAGAAAGGTGGACATTACAAGCCCTGAAAGTCACCAGCATGGTAAGGAAAGAGCATCCTACCAGTCCTGTCAGTCTCCTTTTGTCTTATTCTGTTTCTTTGTTTTTGGATACTTTCAAACAAACCCCAGCAGTGTACACTTTTGTCATCAAGTATATTAAGAGGGAGTAGTTTTGAAATGTAAAGGTATGGAAAATCAAGGATGGGTGGCTCAACCTTGCTGCAGAGGCCTGCCACAGGTCCCGACTCATAGGGAGTGGCCAAGTTACATCCTTGCATCAGAACTGGGGTTTCTTGTTTTAACTGTATCTGGTGGAACAGAAATACTAGTGTATGTGATACACAGAATGTGTCAGGGTGGTTCTGTGAAACCTGTTTCAGTTAAATATGTTTATATACACAAGTTTCTGTGAACTGCCAAAACATTTAAATCAAAATAAAGGGATGTTAAGTAGATGATAGATACATAGATAGATAGATAGATAGATAAATAGATACATAGATAGACAGATAGATTGATAGACAGAGCAAGAAGGCATGGTTTCTCAGGAAAGGAGGGAGATACAAAAGGGAAAACTCATAGGCAGGAAAGGGGAAGAGAGGAGGAGAAGGTGAAGAGGTCACTTCCCCTTCTGATTTCAGTGACCAGTGAGATCTGTGAGCACTGGGGTTTGCCAGACTCCTCCCCATGCACACGCTCAGGTTTCCCCAGGCTGGACTTGGGAAAGGCAAGAGAACTGTAAGCGGGCTATTCGGAGAGGCTGACACAGAAGAACTGGCAGGTGCGGAGGATGAAAGCGAGGCAGGTGAGCTATTGCTGACAAGTCCAGTCTGGCGAGGAGGATCCTGGATAGAAAAAGTTGCGTTGAGGGAGCATCTTGTCAGGTCTAAGAAACTCAGGATAAATGGCCTAGGTGCCTATTAGCACACCAAAGTGCATACTGGCCCCCAGGCTCACTCAGGACCTCTCAGCTTCCCCACATACACACCCTGCCTCTCCCCTAAATCTCTGGAGCTCATGCGCTTCCCTTCCCCCAGCTTCTCTTTCCTATACAACCCTGCCGTTTTGACCATGTACCCTCTTGGTCCTCTCTCTCGGTCTCCTTTGCTCCTTCTAGATTATATTCCTCTCTCATTTTCCCCATCTCATTCATGGCCTGGTTTTGTCGGCTGCTCATGCTCAGTTTACTACTTTCTCTCTCCACTCTAGACTCTTCCAGATGCCTCGGGCCATATTCTCCTTCATATCTACAATGAAAACCTGCTGGAGGAAGTATTACAGCTTGCATTTACCTGCCTACTAGGGCGTGGCCTCTTATACTATTTATGGGACAGCCAAAGGTGCATGGGCCCCTTTTTGCTCGTTCCCCTTGCTCACTCCGTTCCTGCTGGCTGCTCTTCTGGATTGCGTGATTCCACCAGTCAAGTGGAAGATTCTGATTTGCGAGTTTACCCCTTAATAAATGACTATCGATTTCTCAATTCTGAGCTAGTATGGTATTTCTTTTCAGCGCCCGACCGCCATAACCAAAACCTCCTCCACCATGCCGTGGAGCGGTCACATCGCCAGTTTACACACATCTGATTTGAGGGACACATGGACAGGCCAGAGCTCAGGCAGGCACAACGGCAGAGCATAGGCAGCACCTCCTTCCCCAACGGTCAGAGATAGGAAAAGGCTACCTGAGTTAGGAAAAGGACAGAAGACACGGGACAGGGCCTAGTTAGGGACACAGATGAAGGAGATAGACAGCTCGGAGCATATTCCTCGGGGCCTGGTCTGTGCTGCTAGCCCATCCCTTTTCTTCTAAAGATGCACAGTTATCCAAGTGTGTCACACAAATATCCACAAGAGAGATGAGGAAGAGCTTCCTCTAGGAGGGTCCCTCTGCATCAGCCACCCGCCCAGTACCTGGGATGGAGAGCTCGGCTGACATGGAGGCTTTCCCTGACCCATTCACCGCCATGCACGTGTATGTGCCCAGGTCATCCTGAGTGACCTCATGGATTTCCAGGATCTGCATACCATTCTTCTCTGACATAGATAGGCGGGCACTTGGCTGCAATGGGACATTTCCCTATAAGTAGCAAGAAGGGAGCTTGGTTACAGGAGCCTGCTCTCTTTATGACCCAGTTATCCTGCCTCCCACCAGTCCTACGGGATGGACACCAGGGCTTGATTGATGATAGGTGTGGAAGGGCCCCACCCACCATGCATGGGTCAGGCTGTCCCGGGGTAGGTGGTCCTGGTGTGTATGAAACACGGAACTTAACAAGCTAGAAAGAGCAAGACAGTTATCAGCGTTCTATGCCTCCAGGTTCCTGCTCTGACTTCTTTCAGTGACGTGGGAGCCGAAGTCAAAGAAAATCTTCACCTTGCTTTTGGTCACGGTATTTAACACAGCAACAGAAAAGATGGTGAAGCCAGCACCTACTTGAGCACTCGGGCTTGGAGCCACTGTGTGGAAACAGCCTCGAAAGACCTGCGTTTCTCTGAAGGAGGGGGTATGGAAGGCTTTCTATACGGTCCACTTCAGTTTATCTTTGCCGCCCTTTCTTTCTGAGGACAAGTTCGGAAGGATCAAGATGTAGGTAAAAGGAGTCCTGTCACTCATTCCACTCAAGATTTTCTTCTCTGAAAAAAAGTCTATTCTCTCTCTGGCCTTGACCCCTCCTGACATCCCCTAATGTCCTGCTCCGTCCCCAGCTTTCTCAGCACCTGGCACTGCTAGCTCCTCTGCCTCTCGCTCACTTGGCCCAGTTCTGAGCCGTTGGTAAGGCACTTCCACATGGAAGCTAGCTAGTGCCACTAGCTTGTCGAGGCATTATTCCTACATCAAAAATAAGGAGACTGGGTTCCAAGAGTTAGGGGACTTGTCTAGCATCATGAACCATGGAACTGTTGCCTGAAAACTACCACCTCAATTCAAATTCTCTCTCTTGAGATGCCTGGTCTGTCTTTATACCACGGCTTTACACTGTTTGGTGAGTGGGAGGATAAGAGGACCAAGTAACAGGGGGAGCAATGGAACAGAAGTGTCCCTATCACACCTACCGAGAGCATTGGGGAGATGCCTGGGACCGAAACGAAAAGAACCAACCAGAAAGCCAGATTCCCACTAGTCCCAGGGTTTTAAGATCTCTGACTTCTTGGCCAGGGTCAGAGTCTGGGCAGACAAAACGTTACCTTGAGCCAGGTGACCTGTGGTGGAGGCCGGCCAGTGACCTTGCAGGAGAATCGCCCCATCTGCCCTTCTTTGACCACAGCTCGACCCAACTTCGTGGCAAACTTTGGTGGGCACTCGCCCCAGATGCTAGGACGGGTCTCCCCTGCTGGGGATGAAAATCTGTCCCCCGAAAGAAATCAGCCGAAAATCCAGACTTAGGGTAGCAATTTGATTCTTTCCCTCCTTCCTAAGTTGTTAAAATTATGGCCAGAAACCTCTCAGGGGTTGTTTGCCCAACTCTGTGCCTCAAATGTGTCCTCTTGTCTCCTCTGGATAATCAGCGGCACTAGAATATGTCACCTCCACCACATGGAAATGCAGCCATGTGGCATTTACTAGTCTCCCTCAAACCTGAGTTCTACTGAGGTTCCTCTGCGTGGGCCCAGCATTCTGTCTAGGTGCAGAAGACGCAGGAGATGGAGCTGCACAGCAGAGGAAGCTCCTCGAGGACAACGTGAGAGCTCTAGTTTGTCCAAGAACATCTGCACTGAACGTCCCTTTGTTGAGCAATAAGTTTGGGTGAGCCACTGAGACCTGGGACTTGTCTGTGATGGCCGTCATTATTAATGCTTCTTCTGAGTTTACTCATCTGAATTTCGTATCCATTACTATCTCGATTGTTAGAATCCTCTGAAGGCCATAGACATACTCTTCCACTTCCTTATTATTCAGCAGCGGGCCAAAGGCACTACCCACAGAGGCTGCTGGGTCAGAAGATGCTGGGGAAATGATACCCAATGTCCCACTAAGATACACAAGACCTCTGTCTGCCAAGTCAGCAGGAAAAACCAACCCAACCCTTACTCCAGCTTGAACATTTCAGAACTTACCCTGAGGTTTTGGGAACAACAGGCTGACCAGGCTTCTTCATAAAATTCCCTGCAAGTAACAAACAGAGAGAAGGCCAAGGAGTCAGGGCCAGGCTGCATCCAGTGTTGGCGAGGAGTCATGCAGATTCAACAACAGGAGAAGCTGGGACAAGGATGGTAGCAGTGAACCGTGAGGAGCACGTGCTGACTCACTGAGGACGTCAGGCTAGCCCTTCACAAACACTGAAACATGGACCCCTTGTGATAACTAAATAAATCTGTTTATACGCTATTCTTCCATCTTTTGAATTTTTAAAAATTTATTTGTTGTTATTTTGTATGTATGAGGGCTTGCTGTGTGCATACATGTTCACATTAGGCACATGCCTGGTGCTTGTGGAAGTCATATGAGGGTGAAACTGGTGTTACAGATGGTTGTGAGCCACCACGTAGGTCCTGGGAACTGAACCTGGGTCCTCTGTAAGGACAGTCATTGCTCTTACCTGCTGTGCCATTTCCCTAGCCCTCTTCTGATATGTTTTCAGTGGGTAAGAAAAATGAAATCACAGAAGCCACATGTGTAAAGTCAGACCCCAGAATAGTTCAGGAATTCATCAGGTCTTCCAAATTGCTGAGCTGTGAGGTATTGCTATGGACTCTCTACTGTTAGAGTTACCTGCAGAGACCCAGAACCATTCCAGAACATAGCCCAGTTCAAGTGAGAGAAGGAGATGCCCGGGGACATCTCTTACCATATCTATCCTTATGAATTTGATGAAGACTCCACTCTTCCACAGAGGGCTGAGCAAATAGCAGCAAACAGAAACGGAGGAGGGCTGAGACACCATGGAGCCACACCTCCCCTTAATCAGCACTACTGCCCCACACAGCTCTGCTGGTTCTTGGAAGGCACAATTATCCTGGGCACCACCAGTTCTAGGGGAGAAGTTAATATAGCCAGTGCCACTGAGCCAAGGTGAGCTGCTGACATACCAGGTGGGAAACCAAGAGAGACAAGGTGGGATGCCTTTAGCCAGCTGCTGCAGCTGGGGACGTAATATATAATGTGGCCAGGAAATAAGCATGCAGTAACGATTGCACAATAGTGTTGTTTTTGAGTTAGGAGGAGGAGGAGGAACTGCACAGTTTTGAGATAGCCATCACGCTGGAAGTTAGTCTCTTTCCACCACAAGCTATGAACAAGTATAAAAGCCTCCCCCAGGCCCACATGGAAGGTTCGGTCTTTCTCATAGGAGCAAGTGTCTGCAATGGGGAACATATAGGGCGGTTATTGGAAAATGGCGGATTTCTTCATACTCTCTCACCTATTTCATTTACATGGTGGCCCCAGGGAATGAACCCAAGGGTAAAGGCTAAAGGTCGCAGTGACCATTTCCCCAGAGAGTTCCGTCTTGAGATTTCAGCAGCACATCAGTGAGAAGGGATCAACCACAGACACTTGCATCGTGTTCAAGTTGTGACACCATGCATCAGTGATCACTGTGGATGCATTTTCACTCAGTATGACCACAGAGTGAGCAGAGTCTGTCATCACATCCTCCAGTCAAGGGTAAAAGAAACTTTAAGCTGATCAAAGCAGAGACGAGATTTGAAAGACTCGACTGACATGCACGGTTAAGATGCTGGGCCCCTTCCATGCTGATGGAAGAACTACAAGCAGATAAACATTATTGACAGCAGTTGTTTGGGGGTGGCGGGGTGCTCAATAATTTTAGCTATATTCTGCTTTCAGTAATAATAGCTCTATTTTTAAAATTGATATATATATATATATATATATATATATAGTTACAAAAGAGAAACACAGTGTAGTCACTCCCTCCCCAGAAAAAGAGAAAGAGAAAATGAACTCTGGCATCCAAACAGGGTGTCAGAGCATCTTGTACATGCTCCATACAACAGCATCCACCTGCCAGGCTGCTGAGATTCACACCACACACCATTTACCGCACTTATCAGCGCTACTGATCTTATCAGTGCTACCCATTTGACCTGTATATGGATAAACAAAACGTAGTTTATTCGTGCAATGAAACATTACTCAAGCATAAAAAGGTATGAAGTACTGACACAGTACAGTATGAATGAGCCTTGAAAAATGTGAAGTAAGGAAGCTCATCACAAAGGGCCCATATTTTACAGCTTCATTTCTAAGAAACGTTCTGAACAGGCAAATCCACAGGGAAAAGAAAGTGGTTGGCAGAGATCATGGCCATAAGGAGGAGAGAAATTAGTGGGTATGGATTTCCGTTTGTGATAATGATAAAGTTCGAGAACTAGGTAGTGGTAGTAGCTGTGCAAGCTGGGGGTGTGCCAATGACGCAGGAGCACGTTAGTGCACAGTGTGCAAGCTGGGGTGTGCTGATGACATAGGAGCGCCTCAGGGCACAGTGTGCAAGATGGGAGTGTACTGATGATTACCTCAGGGCACACTTTGGTAAAACTGTAAAAAGCGTAAATATTGCATGTTTTTATACTACAATAAACGAAATTGATTGAGAACTTTTTAAAAAAAAATTCTTAGGAGCTAAACATCCTAATCCGAAGGCTGTAATTCCTTTAAAAAAAAAAAAAGAAAAAAATCTGACATTTTCCCATAGAATAGCAAAGGTTTACAGGTGCCTCTCCATCAGAGCAAGGGCAATTTACAGTGTGATTCAAACGCAATGCACCCATGGGTCACCCAAAAGTGGATCTGAAGAAAGCTCATATACCAGAAAGCTCAGTACCAGAGAGCTTACAGCACAACACAGAGAATTTGGACTAAGAGAACTATGGGGGTGGGGGAGAGTCCAATTGTAAATAGTCGGCTAAGGCGAAGTTTATTTCTATAAAGTGTGAAAGGCTGGCAGAATAGTAAGACCATGATGGAAAAGCAAGCGGAAAGGAGATTAAGGTAGAGCACCAGAAAGAGAGCATTGGTGAGGACTGGAACGGTTTGTGAGGGAGCAACCAAGACACTGGATTTTAACACTCATCTCAGAATTTTCAAGATCACAGGAATGCCGGTAGGCCTTAGGAGCGAAAAGTTCAACAGAGGAGGGGTTAAGAGCAAGCCTGGTGCTTTTCATCAAAAGATGTAAGAAGACTGGACGGATACAGAACACCTTGATCCAAAAGCAAAGAGTGTGGTCAAGACGATAAGAAGGAGGAAAGCTCCCGAGTGTGTGGCAACACCATCTGTCACTCAAACAGGATGTCCACCAAGCAAGAGACATGGTTAATAATCATGCCAGGGCAACAGGCACAAACCCCGCCTGTTCCAGGTGAACCAGAAATAGCCAATCTACTTAGCCATCTTCAGAGTGTTTCTTAGGGAAGGCTTAAAATAGTGCTTCTCGACTCTATTAGAACAAATCCCACTTTCATAACATGCATTTAGTCATGCCTGGGCCACCCTGAATTGAAGTTCACGGCTAATTGGCCATGTATATGGTTTCAGAAATTCATGTAAAGTCGTAATTAAAGCAAGGTGACACAGAAAGTAGACCATAATCCTCTGTATCACAGTATGTAATTGTTCTGCAGGAACAGGCTGGAGGATAATGAGGTCATCAGATGTTTGCAGAACTTGTAAAGTATGCTTGGATTTTAAAAATGAATGGGCAAAACTCATACCATCAAGCAGTACAGGAAAAGGAGGAGTGAGGTGGATATGAGACTAAAACTGTTTTAGAATAAAAGAGCCGCCTATCATAAATAGCCGTAAAAGGGTCAGGCAGCAATGAGGCAAGTCTTTAATCCCAGCACTCAGGAGGCAGAGGTAGACAGATCTCTGTGAGTTCAAGGCCAGCCTGGTCTACAGAGCGAGTTCCAGGACAAAGAAACTCTGTTCTGAAAACAACAACAACAGCAATAATAATAATAGTAATAATAATAATAAAGGCTTAAGAGGTAACATAGCAAGGTAAGTTAAGGATGACTATATAGAGAAAAGAGGAAAAAAAGACCTGAAGCGTGATGTTGAAATAATTCTATTTTATGCCGCAGAATCAGGTAGTAAAAGGTTACTGTAGAAGCCTTATCTATGCCTTAAACTCCCGCCATGCCTTGCAGCACACCCTCAAAGAGGGACATGAAGAAAGGGAAAGTGACAGATAATACAGCTGTGACTTCAAACTAATGGCACCATGTTCCCTTTCAAAGCACAAGTCCGCTGCAGTACCCCCAACTTCTAAAGGCAGGCGAGAAGACAGAAAATCTAAGGAGACATAACTATGTCACCTGTCTCCTTGATTTGACACTACTGGGTTCCAGTTCTGCCAAGCCTCGGGTCTCCTCTGGTTTACACGTGATGCATGCAAGCACATATCAGTATAATGCTTGAATACACATGTGTACATTGCTATATTTCACTCAGTAAAAAATGTGCACAAAATAAATGTTGCAATAATTTTTGGGCTATAAATTTGAGACTTCTCTTTACATACTGGTCATTTCTTAAATTATTTAGCTAGTTTTCTCAACTTAAGAAATCCTGGGTGCTATTAAGGGCCACAGAACCCCTGGCTTAAATGTTTCTGGGGTATTGTTCTAGCAAGGTTGTAAGGAAGAGAAGGAGGTCCTTTCCAAGAAACACATACTGTATTTCTAGAACTTTCCCACTAAACACCCACAAGCTTCCCTACCACTGGGACGAGAAAGGAACTTCGTGAATGCCATACCCTTTCCCCTAGTGGGTGTGGTGCTGTTCCAACTTGGAGCCAGTGTCTCTAGTGCTGGAGAAGTGGCATTTGATGCACTGGCTGATCACGCTTGATCATTAAGAAAAGGGGAGCAGGGCTGAGTGAAACTAGAGGGTGCTGAATTGTTCCCAGTGGATATTTTTGCAGCAAGATGGTCTCTTCAGTTCTCTTTGACACTCGGCCTTTCTCTGGAAGCCCGAGTGCTTGGGAGAGGACCTCACTGGCTCCCAAGGGAGGCAGCCTGGTCAGAGCTCTTCATGAGAGCTCCGGGCATTTTGAGAGAACTGGAAAGTTTATGGGCTGGAGACATCAACGAGAGCCAAACCACATCCACAGGGAAGGCCTTGCTGACAGTCAATCACAG